GACAGAGAATGAGCAGCAAATGAGCCAATCCTTTGTTCTATTCTATCCCTTCTTTCTCACTGATCAATATGGCTGAATCACTGCAGGATGGGTAGGAATCTTCTGTTAGTCTAGGCAAGCGATTTTTTACCACATCCAGGAGCAAGGAAGTAGTAGTGGTGTATGCCTCTGAGACCCTCTCACTTATGAAGCTAGTACTGGGATAGGTTATGTTATTTATAAATGGTGTTGGTAGTGGTAGTAGTGGTAGCAGTAGTGTAGTGTAGTGTTTTTGTGCCCACTAAGGTTATTGTTGCATTTGTAATGATTGGTGCGCATAGTTTAACTATCGTTATATGACAGTATTACAATGTAAGTGTTTACAAAATGGCATGGGACACCGAGTTTAACTGTTTTTATTGAGCAAGGTATCTGAATGAAGTTCATTTTAGGAATTTATGACTGTCTCTGCAATAATGGTTTTCAAAGATTTTTGCCTATAAATGTTTTGCTTATATCTCTTTTGTTTTGTTTATTCTAAATGGCACACATACTGTTATTTCTAAGAGAACAAACTGTTTTATGGTTAGCATAAAAATTAACACCAAAACCAGACCTTGTGAATTACTTGATTGTTCTAACCAATGATAACTACAGTAAGTTAAAACAACTTGAGGTATTTAAAAATAGCAAAGAACATCTGGCTTTTGTTGCTAATTAAATAAAGCTCTGGGTTTTTTATTTGAAAGGAATGGAGACTCACAAAATATTATTAGATACTGCCATTTCTACAGATTTTCAAAAAGAAAACATTTTGTGAGCGATAAACAAAAAGCTGTGAAATATACACTAAGGGTTTAGCTTGATAAAACAAGCATATTTAGAATTTAGCCCTTCAAATGGACTTAAATTTAAGAATGTGCCTAAATACTTAGCCTAAATAAGGATAGAATTAATGTGCTCTCACAAATGGGTCCAAAGGCAGGAAAACTAGTGAAACTGTATGATTAAAGGGTTATATTTAACTTTAATTGATATATAATTCATCACCCCTAGAATTTAGATTAATAAATTGAGGAAATAACTCTTCTATATTTTAGCATTTCCCCTAACTCATTAAGCTCTATGATATGGTGCCACTAAATATCAATATCTAGGTTCATACTTTCATAGCAGCTAGGGTCAGGAGGGACCTGAACAGATCATCTAGCCCGACCCCCTGCCACAGGCAGGAATGAATGCTGGGTTCACAAGACCCCAGGCAGGTGATCATCCAACCTCCTCTTGAATTTGGCCAAGGTAGGGGTGAGGACCACTTCCCTGGGAAGTTGGTTCCAGATTTTGGCCACCCTAACTGTAAAAAATTGCCTTCTGATCTCTAACCTAAACCTATTCTCCATCAGTTTATGACCATTGTTCCTCGCCACCCCAGGTGGTGCTGGGGAGAAAAGGGCTTTACCTATTTGCTGTTGATCTCCCCTGATGAGTTTGTAGGCAGCCACCTGGTTCATTGACATTGACATCAATTTTAGATCAATCTAATAAGTAATTCTGCATGTATAAACTTTTAGTTAAAAATGATACCAAATCTGAGAGATGGTAGTTTGACCCCTGGTTGTACCAGTCACCCAAAGAATTACAGCTAGTTAGGAAAGAGGACAGCCAGCTGTCTGAGTATCCCAGACAAAGGCATTTCATTGATGCTGTTGTGGAGGTGAAGATATATTTTCCAATGTGCAAAGGCAGCCAGCTTGGGAAAGCAATGAAGTTTTACAGACAGTAAGGAAAATAGCTGTTTCATTATTTTGTTTGCTCACTCAAGGGTGGCCTGCAGAGCTGCCATATCTAGACCATCAGGTTAAGGACAGGCCACCAGAAGTGGGGAACGTGGATGGGTGGCCTGCTGCAGAATATGGGGTCCTTGAGCCCTAGTAGGCATAGCAGTCGGTAGCAGGAGGGAGAGTGAAGGCTGACACAGGCCCAGTTTCCTTGCAGTTGCTTTGCCTGTTGCCACTATCATGGCCTGGCCCTGCTGCCACCCTGCTCCATGCTGGACCTGGAGCCAGAGCTGTTGCCGCCATGTGCTCCATACCAGAGTTACAAGCAGAGCTGCTTCCCTGGAACAAAACATATGTCACTGGTAGCAGGTCCAGCTCCAGCTACAGCATGGGACATATGGCATGTGGAGGGACTGGAATCACTGGCATTCCCACCACCACATGCACTGGTCCAAAATTAACCTGTACCCTGGGCTGGATCCAACCTGCATGGAGTCCTGTACTCCGAATCCAGCCTAGGACAGGAGGTGAGTTCAACACCCCTGGCTCCATATCCTATGAATGATACTTCACCTTCAGTTTTCCCATTAACACGTGGTAGGGGTTGCCTAGACAACATCCTCATACTCATTACAGTAGCACCCAGGAGTCCCAATCATGGACAAGGACTATTGTCTAAATTGCTACCATATATAGCACAAAACAAAAAAAAATCTCTGCCTCTAAATGGTTTATAATCTTTGTAACGTATTGTTTTTAAGAATGGATCAGATTATGAGACCTCTCCTCATACGCCTAACATACTCATTGAAAAGTTAGACTGACTTCAGTGGCACCACAGGTGAAGTAATTCAGCACAACGACAAGTATCAGAATCTGGCCCTAATACATTAATGTTTTATTCTCAGCCCTGTTCTGCTCTTATGTATTTATCTATAAGCTATGCTGACTAGTATAACAAATTAAAAGGAGAACATACTAAGCTAACCCAGGTTCATAGAAACCTGGGTTTCTACTCCATAGAAACTGGAGTATACAGACAACTGATGGCCATTCAGTGATCTGTGAAACAAGTTGCTGCTCTCAGTTCATCTTGTAGTGCAGAGCAGCCTTTGATGAGGTATGTTTACAACTAGTTTACTTGAGTCCTGTTCCTGTTTTAAACTCTTGTGAACAGCAAAAGTGACTATGGCTAGGGACAGACATTCAAAAAGCCTGAGCCTAAATTAATTCAATCTTTGCAGGTTAGCTAGACTAAACTGGTTTGTAACCATAAAGACATCGCTCTGGACAGAAGAAATGCAGGCATATGTCTGCAGTGGCTCAGGCTAGAAGCCAGGGGGCACTAGAGCAGCTCTCCCTTCTCTTCCACAGTGCTGAGCTGGGGGGGGGGCAGGCTCTGATTAGGCAGTGGTTCCCCCCCCCACCTTGCTGTTGATAACAGAGCATTGAGTTACACAGCTGGAAGTTACAAGCATTTATCAGCTCATCAAACAAAACAACAGCCTTCAAGCTCTTCTTAAACAACTTTTTCCAAGGAAGCAATGGAGTGACATTACCAACTACCTGTTGATTAGCTCCAGAAAGCCCTAAGCCAACACTGTCCTGTCTGCCTTTGTCCTGTGTCCCACAGCACGGACCATAGCCAGCATGTGGTATGTTATCTAATACTGAGAGGTGTCTGTGTAAGGCAGAGGGGAGGGGGGAATCCCTGCTCGAGCATGGAGTGGTTGGGGTGGCTGGGGCTGGGGGGAGCAGGAGGAAGCCAGGCAGATGCCACTGTATCTGCAGTCTCTGCCGGAGTTGCAGCCAGGGAGCAGAGGGGAGGGGCCAGCCCTGCTGGGCTAGAGCAGAGAGCAGAGCACCACACAGAGTTGCAAAGCATCTGGGATGCTTGAGGACTCTGATTTGACTTAGACCAGGAACAGGTCTGGGACAGACATTGCATAAACTGGTTTGACCCAAATCATTTAAGTCTGATACTACATTTAATGAGGTTTATCTCAAACTGGTTTCAGCCATTTACCAACTGGTTTATATGCACTGAACATCTGTTCTGTTACAGGTTTAAACCAGTTTCTGATCACTTAAACTGGTTTATGTGTAATGTCTGTCCCTAGTCCATGAGAGATAGTCTTAGCATGTGTTGGGTTACTGTTGCACCTGTGTTTCCACTAGAAACTTAATTTCTCACATTTCTGACACACCCTAAAATGTACAAAAATCAGTAGGCTCCTATAAAGGTGTGCAGAGTCTGCGCCAATGTGCTGGATTTCTAGCTCATTGGAGCAGGCTCAATTAATTGACTTCGTTGGAGCTGGAAAATTGACACACTTCAGTGGCCAGCCTTCTATGTCAGGTGTATCAGTGTCCCCACACTGAAAAAATGGAGGTGGGGAGCTTTGAAATAAAACACATTTGATGAGCTTTAGTTCAAATTGCCCCGCTGCCATTTTTTCAGTTTGGGGATATGTAGGGATGCTGATACACCCGATGCACAGGACCTTATAATTAGCATGGCTCACTAATTAAAGCACCTGGAGCCACATCCTGGAGCACATGTAAAAATGCCCAGTAATACTAACTTCAAAATCAGTAATTAAACTGGGGACCCAAGGCAAAAAAAATTTCTGTGGAAATGTAAAATCAGACAAAAAGCCCCTGAATTATACCTAAAAAACAGTGAGGTCTAGGTCCCAGCAACAAAAAGCATGTAATCAAAGTAAAATATTCAGATGTTATTACATTTCTTGATTTGAGATATCCCTTTGATAAAGATGCAAAACACCAGAGTGTGGGGAAGCATGTTATACTCTGGTTCCAGTCGTCTAACCTGAACGACGCTTACAAAAGTTAGAATTACTGTCACATCCTAATATCCATGAGCATGGGCTAGTGTTACATTTGTTATGTATAGTCAGTTCCGTGCCAACAGCTTTTCATACAATTGCTGGAAACCTGTCTTTGCTTTCTTTAGTTTAGCTTCTTTTCAATAAAAGTGAAGCTTCTAGCCCTTTTCCTTGTCGTGGTAGGCCTTAAAAGCTAGGCTAGTCCTTAAGGAGGCTTGCAAACTGGAAAAGGAAAGTTTTCCCACTGAAAGGCTGCTGTCCTGCCAAAGCTTGCTGGGAGTTTGTGGCAGTGAAGATTGCACTTTCAGTTCCAAGGATGGTCCAGGGCCCAGGGGAAGGGGCCTCGAGGACGCCAAAGATTTCCAGAGAGTTTGTACCGGGCATAAGTACTTACCTTGCCAGAAACAAGAAGTGAGAGCACAGGACTCGCTGGAACCACAGAAAAAATGATTGATTAGTTCCTGCCAGCTCTGGTTGGCGGGGCGCTCAATGAATGATGTCAGAAAAGCATGCCCGGCAATGGCTGTAGGAGAGGAAGAGAGATACAGAGAATGGGGGAGTTACTGAAGGAGCAGATGCTAGGACTATGCCCCAGCAGGGGCGGAGGAGGAGAGCGGTAAACCCTCTCCTTTTGAGGCTCAGAGGAGTCTCTTTGCTCACCAGAATTCAGTCATGAGAAGAAGATGGGCTAGTGTCCTGGAGAGCTGCAGTCTATCAGGTTTGAGAGTACCTACAGCAGCAGGGAAGACAACTAACCGTGTGTGGTTGCGTTTCAGGGCCAGCGATCAGGGGAAATCCCAGGACCAGATACCCTGTTACCAACCTCAGGATATTTCTTTCATAGTTTCATAGTAGGTAGTGTGGAATCAGAAAAAAAATAAATGCCTTAAACTTTGATCAAATGAGTTACAAGATGACATAACTGCTTTGTGGGGAATTGCTGGCTCTGTATAGTAGAACAGATAAGGAAAAGTGTTTGTTCTTTGTAACTCCTCTGCAACTGCTTCGCTCACCGCGGTCTTGAAGATAGCAAAAAAAAAGTATGTACAACTCTGAATTCCAGGTGCAAGAAGGGGGTGTTAGTTCTCGCTTTGTCTCCCCCATAGTTCCCATCCTGATAACAGCAAAGAAGTAATGAGCTAGTGTTTGTAGTTGCTTTTTTCTAGCAAACTCCACTATATGATCATGTGAGTTGTAGCGACTGTTAAAAAGTATATAAGCCTCCTGATTTTGCTCTTGGGGGGAAACCCCTTCCAAGTGCTTGGGAAATCCATGTCACTTTGGAATCCCCCCTACAGCTGTAGTTTCATTTAAATAAAAACTTCTGCTGACCTGACGCAAAAGTATGCTGTGTGTGTTTCCATGACAGTAGGGTCAGAAGAGAACTGAGCAGATCATCAAGTTCGACCCTCTGCTCTGGGCAGGAA